CCAAAAGCACTAGGATCATCCTCTACTAAGTAGGTTAGAAAGTCAGGACCTAAAGAAGTAGTGGTCCTAGGTTTCTTGCTTCTCCTAATTTCAGTTTCTTTTATTTCAGACGACTCCTCTCTAGCACTAGGAGGGATACTAAAAGAACTATTTTGTTCTTCAGACTTTTTTTTGAAAGGAAATATATTTTCAAAAAATTTAGCATCTCTAGATTCAAAAATCGTGTTTTTTTCAATCAAATTATTTTTAGAGTCAATGACTAAAAATCTGTAGGCATTACTGTGAAGAGCATAGCCTATAAAAATACAATCAATAGTTTTTGGACCAAGTTTAGTTCTTTTAGATGCTGGAATAAAAGTTTTAGCTAAACACCCCACACTTTAAGATATTTATATGAAGGTGGACTGCCCTTCTACATTTCATAAAGGGATTTATTATTTTTCTTACTTGAAATTTTGTTGAGAATATAACATGTAGTAAGAAAGGCTTCGCCCCACATGTTAAAAGGTAATCTAGAAGAGTTTAGCATTGATATGACCATATTCATAGGAGTTTTATTTTTTCTTTCAGTTACATCATTAGATTGGGGAGAATAAGGTAGAGTAGTCTCGTGATTAACACCTTTTCAACACAGAATTTATCAAAATCTCCAGTATATTCTCCTCCCCTATCAGATCTTAAAATTTTAATAGTTTTATCAAACTGATTTTTAATAATTGTGTGGGGAGTGATCCGAACTCCCGACGTCCCACACAAATGCTATATTTCCCACCATTTGGGTACTTCATCTAAATTGATTATTTCTATCACATTTTTTATTTATAGTATAATTATCTAACATCGCCGTCCTTAGCGAAACAAAACAGGTAGCACATGAAATATTACTTGTATCATCTATAACAAAAGCTGAAAAATATTTATTATGCTAAAACTCTTGGTTTCAACTTTCATCTGCTCCGACATTCATCATTTCCACTATGAAATTTTAATTGAGTCCAACCATCTTGGCTTGCCTTTTGGGAACTGAATCTTTTCCCCTATTGAAGCTAGATTCTTTATTCGCTTTGTCATTCAAAAAGTATTGACGGATAAAGAATTATTATGTGTCTATCGGTGTTGTCTTTTGGGTTGGGGGGAAAGGTACTGGATGGTTACCATGCCAGGCTTAGTTTACATGCCCTATAGTCTGATTAAAAAAATTGTGTTTTTCTTATTCTCGTGGTAATTGTTGGAAATTTATTTAATTCAGTTGGTTTGACCAATTATTTAAGTGGGACCGATGGTGGATTATGAAAATTCTTAGGTCCATCGTATTCTACTCCAAAAGTATAATCATATTTAGTTTCTCAAAATTAATTTTAAGTGAATGAGACATTAATGTCGTGTGTGATCCGCTTAAGTTTGGAATATATTGAAATTATTTGAAATAATTAGGAAGGGACAAGTGTCACAATGGTTAAGTGAATAAGAGTGCTACATGAGTCTTATCCAGATTGTTCCATTTCTCATTGGAAGAGAGGGTCATTTGGACAAAAGTTGTTTGAGTTAATAATCTAAATGGTTACCGAACTTTGCAAAAAAATTTCACGGGGTCACTGAACTTTTAAAAATCGTCTAATTGATCATTGAACTTTGCAAAATGTTTTCATGGAGTCGCTGAACTTTAAAAATCATCTTATTCATCATTGAACTTTGTAAAAGATTTCCCATGAATCACTAAGTGACCCTATCTAAACAATCATGTCTTTTTTATATGAATTTCCAACTATTATATATTTATATATACTATCCCTTATTCACAGAATTAAAGCACTTCGCTTCGTCCTTGCACTTTCATTCTTCCGTATTCTCCATCAAATAATTTTTGCATGAAATTTGAGTCCACGAGTTCATAATAAAGAGAGTTCTATACTTCAGTACCTTTTATGGTCTTTGTAAATTTACAGTAGTTCAATTGTGGGATGTTGTTGTTATATCTTGAGAGACGAATGTCAGAATCCATTAGTACTTGTGAGGGACATTATTGTCTTGAAAAAATAGTGTTAAACTCTTACCTCGATCAAATTCTTATTCTACATTTTTTCTTTCTACTCATTTGATTTCGATGAGTTGGAATATCTATTCGATAATTTGCCCGTTAATTAGAAAAGTAAAATATAAATCATGCACCAAATTTTTCCAACAATCCTAAGGCGATAATTATTTGAATATTTATGCCATGTGTTATATTTGCACTTGTTTTTCATTCTAACAGTACTATAAAAGTTATTGTGGGGGTGTTTGTGCCCCATTATTTGTGAAGAATGTATTATGGAATGGTGATTATGTTGAAATGTGTGATTAAAAAAGAAGGAAAGTTTATGTGTAATATTATTTTAATAAAGAATGTATGATTAAAAATGAGTACTGTAGAAAAAATAATGTGATATAATGATAGACAAACAGAGCCTATATGTTCTCTGAGTGACAAGGGGATTTTCTTAAGTCTTGCAGGTATCAAATAATTCATTGCAACCACGTGTCTTATCATAGAGTCAATACTCCACTTCCACCCCTATATAAACCCACTCATGTGGCCATTTAAAAGGTTATGTTACCATATACTATTATTCATTTCCAATAATAAAGCTCTAGTTGTCAATTATTTTATACTGTATATCTATCTTCAATAATAAGTTTAAATTATGTAACTAATTTATTATCTTACAACATATTTACTTTCTTTGAAATTGATAATTAATAAACAATACCCATTTTCAATAAGTTATTAATAATAACCATAGTTATCTATTAAGAAATACTTTGTCATCTATTCACCTATAATAACTAGTTTTTAAAGAGTTTAAAACCAATAAAACTTGTATTCTTCAAGTGTCATAATACGTCCAATATGAATTGAAAATTTAAAAAATATAAAAATTATAAATAATTAAAAAATGATATACGGTACGTATCAGAGCCTATCCAAGCGCAATCAAGATTGAATACTTATTCTATGCGGGTATGCAATAAATTTACAAGTATCCGCAATTCCTAGCATATAAATAATCGCAGGCCTTGCTTTTTTGCTTTTTTTTTTTTTAATTGACGGCAATTAGTTCAGCATATAGCCACTCTTGTTTGGTTTTCTTGCTACCAATAAATTCAGTACCTCTGACATGCTTCATATTTGTGCAAGAAATGTTTAGGTAAAGAAGTTCTCATCGACGATTGATTATTTGTTGTCAGCTCTAAACTATGATCAGTTCTAAAATGTCATAGTAAGATTGATTTGACATTACTCGCTTGCAACCTTGCAGCTGTTGTCAACAAATATCATAGTTTAATTTTAAGGCTTGTTCGATAGTGATGATGAGAATTATTTTTTTGACCATTAGAGAAAAAAGTGAGTTCTACTTGTGAGAGAAGAAGTAAAAAATGACGGCTGATTTAAGAAAGTAACGGTGAAAAATCAGAACCAAATATGTACTTAGTTAGGAAGGAATTATATTTCTGAGGTATTGAGACAAGTGAGAGGAGCATCCCACAAATTTTTAAACTAGCCATAACCAAATGAGGATTTTAAAATTCTCATATCACTAGGATGCTTATTTCCATATAGTTTACATCAAATATTAAAAGTTTACTCCTGTTAAATACCCCAAAGCTAGTGTTTTTAGCTATCAATCTCCTTTACTAAAACAGAGTGGATAGATGTAGATGCTTGATTTGCTGGAACTGCAGGTCCTTTAGGGACATTGCTTGCTGTTCTGTAACTAAGCAAGTTGTGGAAGATTATACTGGATGATTGTAAGGTCAGGTTGAAAGGTTGGTATGAGAATGCAGATAAAGAAAATAAGAACTCCTATTAATCGATACTATAAAATTCTTGATAATGAAACGCATAGTTTGTTCAGAGCCAGTGAAAAAATAAAATTATCTGACAAAAGACAAGTAGATTAGACCCAAATAGATTAGTTGCTCTTGGCTGTGAGTAACTGGGATATTTATGGAATGAGAAAACACATGGTGGTGTCATTCGGATAATTTACAACCGCTGCTATGGGTTAACATTCAGCTTTACTAACAATCAACCTAGGATGCAGATTTGTCCTTGCGGAAGAAAGGTTCAAATTCTGTTACGATATTCCTTTTACTTGAATAGGAATAATTCTTATTTTTCATATTGCTTCTGCTAAAAACAAGAGGGCACTTTTAGCTACAATTATATTATGCTCATGTGTGCCAAACGATTATCATAATTAGATCTTACAGTGTCTCTTTCCCCATACAGTTAAAACTTATGATTCCATGTATTCACAAAGAAGAAGGTTGAGGCTCCCAGGAAACACACGTATTCATGTTCAATATTCTGAGAGTATAAGTTTGTTGCAGATTTTATCTTGTCAAGTTCTTGAGGTAGATTGGAGTGTCGGATCAAGTAGGGAAAGACAATTATTTGTAAACAGTGCATCAGTCATTGTTAAATGTACGTTGAAGGGAATTTGGTGGAATGTTGGCTTCTCATGACGCATTTTTGTTGTAGCTATTGTTGCTTCTAAATTCGTCGTAAAAGGGCTTTTAAAGTAGCTTGGGTATCTGGTGAATATAAGCCTCGATTGGCCTGTTACAGAATTCATGCACCTATTGAGATGGAAATTCTTATTATCTGGCTATTGTTACGAGGTCATGGTAAGTGATACTATTTTAATATGAAAGAGGGAAATTCTCTACCTTTTCTACCTTGCATAGGAAATTTTTAGTGGCATTACGGCAATTGATCTAACATTTGTTGTGGCACCATGGCCATGGGCAGTCTATTAGATAGAGGTTTACTTTTGCACAATCCTTTCTGTACGTGAACTTTTATCCACAAAATCTTGAAGTCTTGTCAAAGTACTTTTCTTTTCTTTGGTTTGGGGTCCAATGTCACATGAGTAACGGATGAAACAATATTAACTATCAATCTAATTCATTACCTAAAGGCAAAAAAGAAACATATACATTTAAATACATGTGCATCAACATTTCCATGTAGATGCAGCAAGAACGGCTCTATCCTGCCACCCTAAAAGCATGCAACCATGGTCTTGTGTCAGTCTATAACCATTGCATGAGTATAGTCCCAGTCCCACCAATATTTTTGATTGAGTGATGGCAGTTTCACTTAGTGGAACGCCTATGAATCCCTTTCCTTCCATGTGTCTCCTCCATTTTACCAGCCTTTCGTGCCTGATTACCCTCTCGGACCCCTCACAAGCCACAATGTTCCTAATCTCCCGTGCAAATATGTATTGTTCCACCTTAGCTCTCTGTGCAGAATCTGGCGGAAATGTTTCATCCAATGAGTCAAAGATTGCTGAATAATAGTGCAATGCCTCGAGAAATCTTCCCAAGAAGTAAGGTCCATTGTGGCTTGCTTCTTCCTCAACAATGGTCACTACATTAGGTGATAAATCCCTGATCATGGCCAATAGATTCCCGAGACAGTTGCCTGGAACGCAATGGTGCCGGCTAACTGAGTTAACTGCAAGAACCTCACCAACCTTTCGTTTGAACATATGGGGTTTTAGGTCTTCCAGTTTTTCACCAACAGGATGAAATTCAAACGGGACATGTAGAGAATGCGCTAGTTCAGACAAAGATCTACCAGTTTTCCTCAGACACTCAAGGGAGGGGCCCACACCAGTGATTTGGAGAAATGGGGCACCACCTGGCCTGGAAGCTAGGGCTTGCATGAAGACGGGCCATTGACAGCCCTGAAGGATATCAAGATCAATGACATGGACGCACACTTGTGATTCAAATGCCTCGAAAATGGCTTGATTAGCTGTGAAATGAGCAAATTTGATGTAGGGGCATGCTTGATAAAGAATTTGATAAATTTTGAGGATTTCTGGAGACTTGGGATCAGGAAAAGGATTAAAGGATGGATTTTGATCGGTGGTCCTAGGATTATTTGTTAGGGTGGCAACCAGTCTTGTGCTTAGGGCCTCAGTGAAGCAAGCAGCGACCCGTTGTATGGAATGACCAACAGGCGAGACTAGTCGATTGAGATAGTGGAGATACCTCCTGGCTAACATGTAATACTCTTTGGATACTGCTTCTGCACAAGAAATAAGCAAGTGCACCAAGTGCAGCCCACCGTCCTGTTCCTATACATATGAACATTTCAAAATTAAGTTACCAAATTCGATGGAGTCACTCGATGAGAGAGGATTATCGTGCACAATATGGTCCATATTTTACCTGCTCAGATCCAATGGAACAGGCACCATCAAGCTGCTGTTATGTATATTTTGTATTTTGGTTGTGCTGCGGCTGTTGATGTCTTCCTTGCAGTGGCGGAGCTTGTTGCTGCTGCCGCCATTGGAGACTTCTTTGTTTCTGTTCTTGTTGCCATTCCTGGTGTAATAGTTGCGATAGTTGTGCAGGTACAGTTGATCCCGGCTGATAAATGCCATTCTCTTGACTCACATTTGAACATTCTCGAATGGATGATGAGGCACTACTCACAACTGATCCGTAAAACGTAGTTGAATTTTGCAACGTAGAGGAATCCAACGATTCTTGCACCATTGTAAGAGCATCAAAAGCACAATTGGATGAGCTTTCACCATCGCCACTAACTATCTTCATCGGGGAGAAATTATCGTCCAATGGAATATTCTCTAGGGCAGAAAGAGAAAGGCTTTCCAGTGGCATATATTGAATATTTGGAGAATTGGAAACCCTGTGAAGTGGGCTCAGCCGCTTGCCTAATATCTGGCCAAGAGGAGACAAGATGCGAGGTGGAGAGTAAATTAGAAGACTGGATGCCTGTGGTGACATGTTCCTCGCTGGTGAGAAAACCATGAAATCACCTTGTAACGTCTGATCATCAGAGAAAATTGACTCCCACATTGAATAATCAGGTGATTGATTTTCAACATGTCCGTCCACTTCAAATTTGAGTGCAGTAGCTGGAACACTCAGGTTTGTCGTACTTTCATTTATTTTCTTCAATTCAGAAACGGACTGATTTGATGAGGTTTGTTCTTGTTTTGTCCAAGAATTAATCTCAGTAGTCTGCTGATTCGACATCTCACTCGCTATGCTCCCTGTAATCTCACTCTTGAGACTCCTCATGCTGCCACACAGGGAATTAATCATTCTATACACTGCCTGCACTTATTCAATTTATTCAAAAAGAAAATATATAGGGTTTCAACTATAATTTGGTCCAAGACCAAGAGTCTTCTAAGAATTGGCAAAGTTTTAAAGCTGAGATTAATTATGTTTCCATCACATTATATTACAGAGAAGAGTTTTGTCTCTTGTACATGGAATAATGAGAAATTAGTGGAGGATCGAACTACATAGTGATTGTAGTGTACCTAGGTTAGTGAACTATATAAATTGTTGGATTTACATTAAGATAATGAGTAGTGACAAAAAATGTCTGTCTCATTTAGCATTGTTGGCACCGTCTATTCCTTGGAGTTGGCTAAGTATTTAACCTCTTGTCCCTCCTCAACCGGCTTGTCATCTAGCTCTCTCCTACCTCACACAATCACACTTTCTCACTTGATTCGTGCATTACTGTTTGTTTATAAAATTTTGTTATGTATTTATCGAATAATTGGAAAGGTTAATTTGATTTTTTCCGTTTAATTGTTTCATTTGATGGGTGTGAACAAGCATGTAAACATGGAAAATATGTGGCATGATCAATCTGATAGGTTATACAACGAACTAGACGAGTATGATAAACGTCGTTTCGGGTTATATGATGTGGACAAATATGGCATCATATTCATCTCTCTTTTTGCGCTCTCTTTTCTATTGTTCGGCTTCATCAATACGTAAACATACATATTGATGCAAATTTTGCATGGATTTATGGTTCCGGACAATTGTCTCCTTGGAAGTGCTTAAAAGTTAAAAGCGATGCGACAGCTAATTTCAAAAAAGTTAACAGTGGAGTTGATAAAATCTATAGCATCTGTAGCATAAGCTAGAACATTATTAAAGAATAAAAATTTTAAAATCTTATTTATTTATTGTATTGGTGTCATGAAATGCTATGCTCTATTTCATATATTCATGTAGTTGGGATTGGACTAATCTTCTTTCTTTTATTATTATTATTTATTTATTTATTTATTTATTTTTATTTTTATTTTTTTAAGATCTTCTTAATAAAGTTATGGAGGGAAAATAAGACTCAAATTCACAAACACAAAAATTAATAAAATTAAATAAAAGAATGTGGCAACTGGCAAAGTGGAATTGAGATATTTTCTAGTTTGCCACCTTTTAAGATGGAACTTTTAAGTTTCAATATAATTTAGAATTTAACAAGATCAAAAGAACAAGATTAGAGTTCTCAAATGAATCATTATCTCGATTCTTGAAGGGCAGGGTGAGCTATAAATATCATGGTTATAGAGACAATTAATAATTAATATAAAAGAATTTGAATTACTTTTAAGAAGTTTGATATTTTCATTGGGGACTAGGTTTCTTCGCAAACTGAGTATCGGATTGGAAAATCAAAAAGACAAGTCTAAAATAATGCGTTGGAAATGGCTATTTGAAGTTGCTTAATAATCCAATTTTATCTTTTAACTCATTTTGAAGTCACTTTTTTCCATTTATTTTCAGGTTATGTTCTTCACTCATTGTGTTAGGTAGTCAATATTAATATTGTGTCAAAGTATTTGTGGTAATTTTGCAACTTATCCATCGGATGGAAAAATCATTAAACAACAAATTTAAAATAACGATCAAAAAGTGCGGCAAGGAACATATTTAATAAATTTATTTTTTACCATTTAATTCCTGTGAGGAAGGAAAGGGGGAGCTGGTTCTGCCGGGCGCCAGGAGTGGGTGACCAGGCACCCAGTTTCTGCCTTCCCGGCAGAAACATGGCGCCTAGGCGCCCCGATATGTATATATATTGCCAGTGGCGCCCAGGCGCCCCGATTGTGAAACCAAAACAGAAACATGGTGCCTAGGCGCCACTCTTGGGCGCCTAGGTGCCCCGATATGTATATATATTGTCATTTTTTCCCTCTTTCATTAACACAAGACCTAGAGCCCGGTTTTAAGAGAAGAAAAGAGAGAAAACTTGGAGAGAATTTTACAAGATTGAAGGTTGTTCATCTTGGGTATAAATTCAAAGTTATTTTCTTTTTTGGGGATTAACTTGAGGCTTGTTCAAGTAATCCATATACATTGTTCTTCATATATTCCATTGAAATCATTTCTTTCTCATTTTCTTGTTCTTCAAGTGGTTTGGAAATTTTCACATTGTCAACTTTGTTTGATCTTTGGGCTATCTTTGGGAGGTGTTTTCCCAACAATTTGGTATCAGAGCTTCTTCCTAAATCAAGGTGGTTAAGCTTCGATTTTGTGGTGAGTTGCTTGAACTTTGTTGTGCACAAGGTGTTTGTGAAAATTCCCAAGTGAACCTTGGTGATTTATTTTCGGTAAACAAGTGGATAAATCATGTCTACTAGAGGAATGGTGAAGATTGGGAAGTATGAGATAGGGAAATTCAATGGGAAGAATGATTTTTCATATTGGAGAATGCAAATGAAAAATTTGTTGATTTCTCAAAAGTTGCACAAGGCATTGGCGGGAAAGGAGAAGAAGCACGTTGATATGTCGGACGAGGATTGGGAAGAGCTAGATCTTGAGGCACGAGCTTCTATCATTCTTTGTCTTGAAAGAGATGTTGCTTTCTTGGTTGATAGTGAGGTAACGGCAGTGGAGGTGTGGACAAAGTTGGAGGCGAACTTCATGACGAAGACTCTAACAAATCGGATCTACTTGAAGTCCAAATTGTATACTTGCAAGATGGATGAAGGTACACCAATCCGAGAGTACGTCAACAAGTTTGATAGGATCATATCGGACTTGAAGGACATTGATGTGGATGTAGATGATGAGGATCAAGCACTTCTACTACTTCTTTCATTGCCAAAGTCTTACGAGAACCTAGTACAAATATTGATGCTTGTGGGTGATAAACTTGTGATGGAGGACACTAGAACGTCACTTCTAGCGGATGATCTTCGAAAGATTGCAACTAGTGGCATGTCTACCATTGGTAACAAGGAGCAAGCTCAAGGATTGTTTATAAGGGGTAGAAGCAATGTGCGACCAAAGGGCAAGGGAGAAAAATCTAGATCGAGTTCTAGACCTCTTGCGGAAAGGTCTTGTTTCAAATGTGGCGAGCTTGGGCATTTCAAGGCGAATTGTCCTAACAAAAAGAGTTGGAAGAAGAACAATAAGAACAACAACAACGGGAAGGTGCAAGTCAAGTAGGAGGTAAGCTATGCCCCGGAAGGAGGGGAAAGCGATGAGTGCTACACCATCTCTTGTGATGAAGAAACCTCCGGTAAGTGGATTCTTGACTCTGGATGCTCTTAACATATGTGTCCAAATAGGAAGTGGTTTACTACCTATAGAAGCACTGACGGTAGAACCGTGTTGATGGGTAATAACCATTCTTGTAAAACGGTGGGGCTCGGTTTAATTAGAATCAAGATGCATGATGGAGTGGTTAGAGCATTGATGGATGTTAGACATGTTCCTGATTTGCGCAAGAACCTTATCTCTGTTGGTGCCTTAGACTCCGGTGGTTGCAAGATTGTAACATGGAATGGAGTAAAGAAGGTTGTTCGTGGTTCTTTAATTGTGATGAAGGGTATTCGTGAAGGTAATCTCTATGCTCTTCAGGGTACTACAGTTACTGAAGATGTAGTAGTTGGAACAAGTGGAAGTGGTGGAGACCCATGTGAGTGCACTCAGCTATGGCATAGGAGGCTTGGGCATATGTCTGAAAAGGGGCTAGATTTGCTAGTCAAGAAAGGTTTGCTAAAGAACTTGAAGAAGCCTTGTATGGATTTTTGCGAACATTGCGTGTACGGTAAAGCCCACCGAGTTCAGTTCCAGCCAAGCAAACATAGAAGCAGAGGCATTCTTGACTATGTGCACACGGATGTATGGGGTCCGGCTTCTGTCACTTCCAAAGGCGGCTCCAAGTATTTTGTTACATTTGTTGATGATTATTCTAGATATGCTTGGATTTATTTTTTGAAGTATAAGAATGAGGTATTCGACACTTTCAAGAAGTGGAAAGCAATGGTTGAAAATAGAACAGGAAAGAAATTGAAGACGCTGCGATCTGATAACGGTACTGAGTATACAGATGGTGCTTTCAAGGAGTTCTGTGGTAAAGAAGGCATTGTGAGACACTGGACAGTTAGAAATACACCGCAACAGAAGGGGGTCGCGAAAAGACTGAATCGCACATTTCGAGAGAAATCGATGTATATGCGATCCTATGCTGGTTTGGGTAGAGAATGGTGGGCAAAGTCGATTGCAAATGCTTGCTACATAGTGAACCGGTCTCCACATTCAAGGTTAGATGGAGATGTACCTTATAGGGTATTGACAGGAGAACATGCAGATTATGAGAAACTCAGAACATTCGGATGCACAGCCTACTATCTTGTCAACGAGGGAAAGCTTGATGCGAGGGCCAAGAAGGCTATATTCTTAGGGTATGCGGCAGGTGTTAAAGGCTATCGCATTTGGTGTGTAGAGGATTCTAAGTTCATAATCAGCAGAGATGTTACTTTTGATGAGAACACCATGGTAGCTTCGTTGAAAGCTACAGTGCCCGATGGTGATGATGTTGAGACTATAATGTCTCTCAAGTTGTTGACATAGAACCTAGAGATCAACCTGATTTTAGGTATGTTCAAGAGGAGCATCATACAGACACTCGAGATGAGAGTGATGATGGGCTTGAATAAGAGGCGGTTCAGCAAGAGAATGTATAGACACAGCAACAACAACAGCTTACAGAGAACTTGGCTTCCTCTAGGCCACGCCGTACTTACAAGCAAGTCTTAAAGTTGGCGTCAGACGAGCCTTTGAGGTACTATGGGCAGACAAATTTGGTTGAGTATGCACTTTCGGTGGAGGATGATGAGCCTACCACTTTCAAGGAAGCTATTTTAAACAAAAATAGCGAGAGTTGGTTGGCGACAATGGAAGAAGAGATGGAATCACTTCACAAGAACCAAACATGGGAGGTTGTCCCATTGCCCATAGGTAAGAAAGCTATTGGTTGCAAGTGGTTGTATAAAAAGAAG